GGATACTCCGCCAGAGGCAGTGCTTGAGTCTGGCCAGCAGCAGCAGCAGCAGCAGCAGCAGCAGCAGCAGCAACAGGATGCGCAGCTTCTATTGACAGCAGTAGCGATTGAGACAGACAGCTTCGTTGCTGCTGCTCCTTTACCATGGGAGTTTCCTCTGCCGCTGCAGCAGCAGCTGCTGCCGCAGCAGCAGCAGCTGCTGCCGCAGCAGCAGCAGGTGTTGTTCCCCCCACAGCAGCAGCTGCTGCCTCCGCAGCAGCAGCTGCTGGTTCCCCCGCAGCAGCATCAGCTGCCGCCGCAGCTGCTGCTGCCCCCTCCGCAGCAGCAGCAGCAGCTGCCGCCGCAGCAGCTGCTGCTGCCCCCGCCGCAGCAGCAGCATCAGCTGCCGCCGCAGCAGCTGCTGCTGCCCCCGCCGCAGCAGCAGCATCAGCTGCCGCCGCAGCAGCAGCTGCTGGTTCCGCCGCCTCCGCAGCTGTTGCTGCCGCAGCTGCTGCTGCCCCCGCCGAAGCAGCAGCAGCAGCAGCCGCAGCTGCTGCTCCCGCAGCAGCCGCAGCAGCAGCTGCAGCCGCCGCAACTGCAGGAAGGATTGGTTCAGCCTTTGTGTTCTGAGTTTCCCTTACTACCACAGCAGCAGCTGCAGCAGCAGCTGCAGCAGCAGCAGCAGCAGCAGCAGCAGCAGCAGCGCTGCTGCTGCTGCACCAGCCGCTGCAGAAGAAGCAGCGCCAAAGGACCAGCCGGCTCCGCACCAAATCAGCTTTTCTGCGGCAAAAGACCAGCAGCAGCAGGAGCCGCAGCAGCAGCAGCCGCAGCAGCCTCAGCAGCAGCAGTCGCAGGAGCCGCAGCAGCAGCAGCAGCAGCCGAAGCAGCAGCAGCAGCAGCAGCAGCAGCAGAAGCTGGTGCCCTGCGTTGCTGGGCGCCGGGGGGGCTCTCGCACGCCCAAGCGGGTGAGCTGGGCAGAGAGCGCAGCAGCAACAGCAGCAGCAAAAGAAGTGGACGAGTTGCCGAGTTTTGCTGCAGCATCTGCTGCTGCTGCTCCTGCCTTTTCCCTTGCAGAGCAGCAGCAGCAGCAGCAGCAGCAGCAGCAGCAGCAGCAGCAGCAAAAGAGAGAAGTGTGGCTGTCGCCGTCCTCAGGCAGCACAACAGGAACACCACCAACTGCCTTCGACAGCAGCCCAAGTGCTGCTGCTGTCAGCCCAGACGGCGTTTCTCTGAGCTACTAGAGCTGTTGCTGCTGCAGCAGCAGCAGCAGCAGGAGTTTCAAGCAGCAGCAGGGTTTGCTGCAGCAGCAGCAGGAGCTTGCTGCAGCAGCAGCGCGGCGTTGCTGCTGCTGCAGCAGTTCCCCTACCCGAGACCCGAAGCGGAAAGCAGTAGAAGCAACGCATCATGAGGAACAATAGACACGTGGTCTAGCCGCAACAAACCCTAAACCCTAAACCCTAAACCCTAAACCCTAAATCCGAGACTAAAAATGAGATCTGGAGGCTTCAAAGGACCAAAAAGAAAGGGAGGGGCACTAAAAGGATTTAATTTTTTGCTGCTGGGGGTTCTGCTGCTGGGGGTCGGGGGGTTTCGTTCAAGTTGCTGCAGGCGCTGCTGCAGCTGCCTCCCCGGCGCACAAATTGTATTTAACTTTGCAGTTTTTTGCTTTTACTTTTATAATATAATATAATATATATAAAATAATATAAAATAATATATTTATATAATGAATGGACTCTTTAGAAGTGCAGCGGAGGCGCCGCAGTGAGCCTTCCGTTCTTTAATTTTTTGCTGCTGGGGGTTCTGCTGCTGGGGGTCGGGGGGTTTCGTTCAAGTTGCTGCAGGCGCTGCTGCAGCTGCCTCCCCGGCGCACAAATTGTATTTAACTTTGCAGTTTTTTGCTTTTACTTTTATAATATAATATAATATATATAAAATAATATAAAATAATATATTTATATAATGAATGGACTCTTTAGAAGTGCAGCGGAGGCGCCGCAGTGAGCCTTCCGTTCGCTTCGCCTCTGTGTGGACTTCTGCAATTTGCAAGTCGGCCGCTGCCAGCGGCTCCAACTCTGCCTCGAGTCGAAATTCCATTTTATTTTTACTTTTAATTATTTCGCTTTTGCATGCAACAGAACTTCGCCTAATAAAGCCTAATTTCGAGCCTGGAGAGCCACGCAGCAGTGCGCGCGCTGCGTTTCAAGCTGAACTTGAAATGCCTTCACATAAATGCGGCCAAGGGCCACTAAATGCTGAATTTTCCGCTAAATTTGGCTAACTTTGCGGCTTTTCGTTCAATAAAGGCCTGCGGGCACTCCCGAGAGAGCCGCTGTGTGCTGCAGTTGCTGGTGGAAGACTCAGAGGCGCTGGCTTGGCTGGGGGCTGCATGTCTGTGTGGAGGCTTTGCAGTTGTCTGGGCTCTGCTGCTTTGCAAAGAAGATGAAAGAAGATGAAAAAAGATGAAAGAAGATGAGGCTTTTGGATTTCAAGAAGTAGGGAAGAACGCGGGGAAAGTTGGCTGCAGCAGTTCCCGTAGGAACTGCAGCAGCGCAGCAGCAACGTCGATCTGCGGCTGGCAGAAGGCAGCAGAACGAGCGGCTGGGAACTCTTGGGAGCATTTCTGATGAGTTTTTCGGAGTTTTTGAGTTTTAGAAATGAATTGGCGCGAAGTCGAGCCCCAAGATGGACCAGTACGAGTGTTCCGTCTGCTCCGAGAACTGCTGCTACAGCCCCGACAGAAAGCTGTACAGCTCCGACGTCTGCGCCCACAGAATCTGCGAAAATTGCCTCCAGCAGCAGTTTCCCGGCGGCCCGGGGGCGGTTTTGCCCACGGCGAAGGGGAACTGCCCAGTGTGTCAGCGGGCTCTCACGCGGGCCAACTACGTGCTCACGGAGCCGGATCTGGACCTTTTCGCGGTGGAAAAGGAGGTTAGAAAGCGCGTCAACGACGCGTAAGTGCACAAAAAGACAAAATTTAAGAAATTGCTTTCGAATTTGCCCTTTTTTCGCCGCTTTCCGCCAGCTTTCCGGCGGCCCGCGGCCGCCGTTTTGCAAAATAACAAAAGTGAGCGCACACTGGCGCCGCCGCAGCTGCGGTGTACGTACACCTCGCGCAGGCTGAACGCACTCCGCGACAACTTCGAGAACACTCCGGCTTACAATGACTACTTGGAGGAAAAGGAAGAAGCCAGTGAGTTTCTTTCACTCCAGATCCTTTTAAATGCCTTTTTGCTTCCTTTTATTTCTTTTAGCGCTGCAGCTTTTCCGTATTCCGCTGCAGACTTGCTTCCGGAAGCAGACCTGCCTGCGGTCATGCAACTGCGTTGCTGCTGCTGCTGCTGTCGCTGCTGCTGCTGCTGCTGCTGCTGCTGCTGCTGCTGCTGCAGTTTACGAACTGGTGTATGGGACGGATGAGCAGCTGAAGCGGCGGCTGGAGAACCGGCTGCGGGAGTTGGAGGGCCACGGGCGGGCGCAGCCGCAGCACGTGCAGCAGAAGCAGCAGCAGCAGCAGCAGCAGAACTCCGAAGCAAGAGCAGCACTGCGGGTTCGGAAGATCAAAGAGATTGTCAAGAAGGAAGGAAACTTCTACGAAATCGTCAAGTCCAAGCCGCTGGGCAGAAGCCTCAAGCCCAGCGACGAGTCCTACGTCCACGTGCGTCCCAGCAGCAGCAGCAGCAGCAGCAGCAGCAGCAGCAGCAGCAAGAGTAGCAGCAGCAGCAGCAACAGCAGCAGCTGCAGCAGCAACAGCAGCAGCTGCAGCAGCAACAGCAGCAGCACAAAGCAGCTGCAGCACCGCAGAACAGCGGAACCGCCTTTGCTGCAGCAGCAACAAGGACTGGCGTGTCTATTTGTTTACTATTTCTCTTATCATTTATTTATTTATTTATTTATTTTTATTTTTATTTATTTTATTTATTTATTTGTTTATTTATTTTTATTTATTTTCATTTATTTATTTATTTTAGATTTATTGGCCCAGCTTCGCTTCCACAAACAGAAATCCACATTTTCTCGAGTCGAGAGACTGCAGCAGCAGCAGCAGCAGCAGCAGCAGCGGTACCTTCTGCTGCTGCTGCTGCAGCTGCTGCTGCAGCTGCTGCTGCAGCAGCAGCAGCTGCAGCAGCAGCAGGTGCTGCTGCGTGAACTCAGTTGCAGCTAAAGCGCAGCTGCAGCTGCAAAAAAGAATTGGGGGGGCAAAACAAAAAACAAAGGAGCAGCCAAGCCCCAAACCCTAAACCCTAAACCCTAAACCCTAAACCCTCCTTATTCCGCGAGAACGGAGATTCGGAGGGAGCTGCTTGCTGCAGCTCATTTGCTGCAGCAAATACTGCATCAAATACTGCATCAAATGCTGCAGCAAATGCTGCAGCACTTGCTGCAGCACTTGCTGCAGCAAATAAGCTGCAGATGCTGCAGCAAATACTGCAGCAAATACTGCAGCAAGTGCTGCAGCAGTTGCTGCAGCAGTTGCTGCAGCAGTTGCTGCAGCAGTTGCTGCAGCAGTTGCTGCAGCAGCAAAGAAGAGTCAGAGGGCGAAGAGAATGGCGCTGAGTTCCTGCTGGCCGCGGTGTCTGTACACCTGGGGGCCGTAGCCCGCTGCTGCTGCTGCTCTTTCGAAGTCATTTATATTTAAATATTTTTTTCGGGGAATGTTTTGGTCTTCTCTTATTGCTGCGTCCAGCGGCCGCGCCCCGTCGCTGCCTGCTGCTGCTGCTGCTGCTGCTGCTGCCTGCGCTGCTGCTGCAGCAGACTGAAACAACGACGAGTACTGACGCTCCAGCGCCTGCGCACAGACACACCTGCTGCTGCTGCTGCTGCTGCTGCTGCTGCTGCTGCTAGGGAGGCAGAACACAGCTGACTACACGAAGTGAACTGCTGCTGCTGCTGCTGCTGCTGCTAGGGAGGCAGAACACAGCTGACTACACGAAGCGAACTGCTGCTGCTGCTGCTGCTACTCTTGCTGCTGCTGCTGCTGCTGCTGCTGCTGCTGCTGCTGCTGGGACGCACGTGGACGTAGG